TATTTTCCTGTTACTAGTTAATACCCTTTTATTTCAGTGTAAAGATGTCTCTTTAACATTTCCTGTAAGGCTGGTCTCGTGGTGCTGAACTCTTTCAGTTTTGCTTATCTGGAAAACTAACTTTCCTTTAATTCTGAAGGACAGCTTTGCCAGGTAGTATATTCTTGGATGGAAGTGTTTTCTTTCAAAACTTTGAATATATTTTGCCACTCCCTTCTGGCCTTCAAAGTTTCTGCTGAAAAATGTGCTGATTATCTTTTGGGGGTTCCCTTATACACAACAAGTTGTTTTTCTCTTGCTGATCTTAAGATTATCTCCTTAAATATTTAACTTTTGACAATTTAATTATGATGTGTCTTGGTGTAGATATCTTTGGGTTCATCTTATTTGAATCTCTGGGCTTCCTGGATATGGATGTCTGTTTACTTCTGTAGGTTAGGGAATGTCTTAGCTACTATTTCTTCAAATAAATGTTCTGCCCCTTTTTTTTCTCTTCTCTTTCTGAAATCCCTATATGCACTTGATGTGGCTCAAGAAGTCCCTTAAGCTATCTCCACTATTTTTTATTCTTTTTGTTCCTCTTTGGATGAATTCCACTGCCCTGTCTTCAGATTCACTGATTCTTCTACTTCATCTAGTCTGCTGTTGAACCCTTCTATTGATTTATTTTTTCAGTTTAGTTATTGTGTTATTTAGCTCTGTGATTTGTGTTTGGTATTTGTATTTTCTACCTTTTTGTTGAAATTCTCTTTGTGCATTGTTCTTCTGACCTTGGTGAGCATTTTAATGACTATTATTTTGAAGCCTTACAGGCAAATCACTTATCTTCTTTTCACTAAGGTTTTTCTCTCAATTTTTACCTTGTTCTTTTATTTGGAACATATTTCTTTGTTTCTTCATTTTCCTTGACTCTCTGTTGATTTCTATACATTAGATAAAACAACCACCTCTCCTAGTCTTGAAGGAGATGAACCTCATCATTCAACCCTGCCCTACCTAGCTCTTGGTTATCTTTCAAACCTTTGTGATTGTCTGAGAAGAGTTATTTGNCTACCTTTTTGTTGAAATTCTCTTTGTGCATTGTTCTTCTGACCTTGGTGAGCATTTTAATGACTATTATTTTGAAGCCTTACAGGCAAATCACTTATCTTCTTTTCACTAAGGTTTTTCTCTCAATTTTTACCTTGTTCTTTTATTTGGAACATATTTCTTTGTTTCTTCATTTTCCTTGACTCTCTGTTGATTTCTATACATTAGATAAAACAACCACCTCTCCTAGTCTTGAAGGAGATGAACCTCATCATTCAACCCTGCCCTACCTAGCTCTTGGTTATCTTTCAAACCTTTGTGATTGTCTGAGAAGAGTTATTTGATTTTAATGGCTTTAGTAGTTGAGGGTGTTCCAAGACCTGTCAGTGTTCCAAAGGGGAAGATATCAGTCAGCACCTAGATGCAGGCTGATTAGAAGACCATCCTTAGGCAGCAGTGTTTACAGTATGAGGATATAAGTCTTTCAGGGGAAGACTGAGAAGTAGGCATTTCTATCTGCTTCCTCTGCACTGAGTCCTGGGGGTATAGCCAGTTTCTTTGTTTGTTACCATCCTGTTGAACCTGTGAACACAAGTACTTCTGGCCACCAGAGGCAGACTATCGAGGGATGTGTCTTCTCGGTGATAACCACAAAAGCCATTTCACCAGATGTGTGTATAACCTTCTTTCTTAGAGGCACCAGCGACCTAGGACATGGCAGAAGAAGAGCATGAAAATGGTGCCCAATGACTTCCTTGGTCTCTAGAAAGGATTGC